TCCACCCAGGCCTTTTCTGGCCAGGCACTTCCCACTTTACCAATGAGGTAGCCACACCTCTGCCAGGGACACTCCTATCTGTGAGTCAGTCGCCTGGAAGAGTCCTGGTCTGTCATTTTGGGAATGCCCTCAACGTGGGCTTCTTTGGGGAGGAGCTGCGGGGGGGAACACGATGCTGCGCCCCTCAGGCCATCAGTTCAGGAAGCATGATGGCGATGTCTTAGCACTGGCCACGGCCTTCGTCACCTCAGTGGCCTGCTCATCTCCCCACCGCAAAGATGCTGCTCTTCTTTTGTGGCTAAACTTGTTAGCCAGAAGGCCTGGGGACCTTGCAGATACCGTATTTCTCATTATACGCCTGCCCACTGATTTTATTTAGTTCTTCTGGTGTTGGGGATTGAACCCAGGGCTTCACGCATGCTCGGTAAGTGCTCTCCCCGCTAATTCTGTATTTATAGATGGATGGTTCAAAAAACAGATTTTAAAAGGCTTCCTAAAGATGGACCACTGTGGATTTATTAATATTAACGCATTTATTATTAATTGATTGATAAATTATTTTCAGTAACTGAACATGATGCAATTCTTTCACTGGTTGTAGCATCTACCAGCGGTATACACTGAGGAGTACATTTTTACTTTTTATTTATTTTTTGGGGGGGAGGCGGTACCAGGGTTTGAACTCAGGGCCTGTTGCTTGCTAAGCAGGCACTCTACAACCACTTGAGCCACTCTGCAAGCCCTGTAGAGTACATTTTTAAGTATATGTGATGCATTTTATTATTTTGGTGAAATTTCATGTCAGAAATTCATGTCTATTAAAATGACTCCCTTTGTTGGCTCACTTGTCTACTTCCTGCTTTATGGTTTTCATGGACGCAGCACTGTCTGCTCTGTAACACACGCACTTGTCATTTTATTGCTGTGTGGGCCCAGGAGGCAGGGCCTTGTCTTGTTCACTCTGTGGCTTTTGCCTGGTGTGCGTATGGTACTTAGACAGATGGTAAAAGAACTAATTCCAATTTTAAAAAAATGGTTTCTGAACTATTTCCCCTTTCCATTCTGAAATGTTTCGAACAGCAAAATTTGGAAGAGTAGGAGAACTCTTGTGTTCTGCATGATTCCACACCGTTACAGTCTTGCTGTGCTTGCCTCTCTATATGCACGTGTGTACACGCGTGTCGCAAATATCATGACTCTTCACCCTTAACGGATGGCTCAGTGTTACTCCATATCAAGGGTATGAACTAAGGCCCTAGGCCAGATCTGGCCCACCTGTTTTAAAAAATAAAGCTTTATTGGAACAGTTACCCAAGGCAGTCACCTAGTACCTACAGCTGAATTTGCATAAAAGCATGTAAGAGTTAGCAGAACATACTTGGCAGCTCTCTTTGAGAGGCCTGAGGGTGTCTCCGGGAACTTGAATTTCAGGAGGTTTTCCCACCATTCCGAGAAGAGGGTCTCATTGCACAAAATTCACCAACAATGTGACTCACAAGGGCCATGATTTCCTTTCTGGACTCAGCTATTTTGGTGTGTGCCAGGAAGATGCCTGCGTGACCAGATTCTCATAAAACCCCAGGGTGCTGAATCTCTCACAAGCTTCCTGGTTGGCAATATTTCACCTGAGATGTCACAGTTCATTGCTGGATGTTAAAAATAAAGTCAGTGGTTGTCCATTTTCAAGGAAAGGCATTTCACCAGGCCCCTTGCTTTTGTATCAGCTTGCAGATACTGGGGGAAGGCCAACTGATAAAGGAACTTACACTGGGAGGGGTAAATCACAGTATAATGAGGAAATGGGGCAAAACCGTGTACGTGCCAGAAAGCACATATCCTGCCACAAAGGGAAATGGATACCACGTAAAACCTGGTTCTAAAATATGATCAATCCCAAGATAGGCATATTTTAAAATTACACAATAAGAAAGTAAGGTGACATACAGGAAAGAATATACGACCCACGACCCACAGAACTCAGTCAGTGAAGAACCAGGGGAGGGACTTGTGCACCAGACAATATGATGCTTGTTGTAGCTGCTTTGGGTGTGTCTGCTCACCAGGCACCCAGTCTTGCAAGATCACTATTAAAGGCTTGCTTTCATTATACTCCATGTGTCTCTGAGTCCGTTCTTTGAGTTTGTACAATTGAACGTACTTCTCACATGGGGCACTAAATGTATCGTGTAGCCCCTGTTAGAAATAAAGTTTGGGATCTTAGGATTCCCAAATGGCAATCAAAGAAACACTCAGCAGTTGCTCAGCAAGGCAAAAAGTTTTACTTCTGCAGAAGGGTGCAGCCACAGACCTCAAGTCTGATTAGTGAGCACACCAAGTGGGAAGTCCACTTGGATTATATTCCTAATGCAGGTCTGCCCCTCATGAGGCTTGGTCACACCTGGGTTCATGATTCTTCCTGGTTAGCTATTGTTTAGACAGGGGAGGGGTTGACATTTTACAACTCAGAACGTGTTTACTCACAGTTCCAGGAATATGAGACTCAAAGACATGACATTTTAAGATGGTAGTGGTTTGGTTAAGCCACTTTGATAGAAAAGACCTGATTTAGTTGATTCTCACAGCCCCCACCTGGAAAGGTCTCAAGGCAGCTTGGACCTGGTTTCCACTTTCCCTGTAATAAACCATACTGAAGCTGAGCATAGAGACAGATCTGTGCCCAGCTTCCTGTAACCTCACCTGACCCTGGTCTTCCACAGTAACCAGCTGAGATATGTTTCCTTTCATTACCAGAGTTTGGTCATCAGCAGGAGAGCTTCAGGGCAGCCGCCCCTCACCTGGCTATTGTGTGATACACATGTCAGGGACTGCACTCCAGTCACCTAATCAATGGCAAGAACAGCCCCAGGAAATAATGACTTTTGTCATTCAATTGTTAGAAATAAAGTCAGTGGTGGTTCATTTTCAAGGCAAGGCATTTAGCCCTATCTGCTTGTTTTCGTATCAGCCTGCAGATGTTGCGGGAGGGGAAACTGATACAGGAACTTAAACTGGGAGGGTTAAATCACTTAGGTAAAAACTGTGTTTGTGCAAGCAGGCACATATCTCAGGGAGACTTTCCAGAGTTTGGTCATAGCAGGAGAGCTTCAGGCAGCCGCCCCTCCACCTGGCTATTGTGTGACTACACATGTCAGGACTGCACTCCCAGTCACCTAATCAATGGCAAAACAGCCCCAGGAAATAATGCTTTGTCATTCAATATGTTAGAAATAAAGTCAGTGGTGGTTTCATTTCAAGGCAAGGCATTTAGCCCCTATCTGCTTGTTTTCGTATCAGCCTGCAGATGTTGCGGGAGGGGAAACTGATACAGGAACTTAAACTGGGAGGGTTAAATCACTTAGGTAAAAACTGTGTTTGTGCAAGCAGGCACATATCTCAGGGAGACTTTCCTGCCACAGGAAGAGGTGGATCCCCCTTCTAAGATTTGACTAGTCCCAAGAGAGGTATATTTTAAAATAATCCAATAGGAATTAGGCGATGGGGGGGAGCGGAAAGTGCAAACCCCATAATACTCAGCCAATGAGGAACCAGGGGAGGGACCTGCAGGACAGCTCTGAGTGTGCCTGGCTTACTAGCAACCCAATCTTTCAAGGCTGTCCTTAAAGTGTTGCTTAGGGTCTGAGGCCGGCCACCCTCTGAGAGGACAAAAGACACTTGAGACAAAGCAAGCTACAAAGCGAGGTTTATTTCTAGCTGGTTAGGGTCCGAGTATCTGCCTGATGCAGCTGGTTTCAACAAGGACCCTGAATGCAAAGTTTACTCTTTAAAGCATTAATCACTGTTGCATAGGAATTCCTCATGCCCCTGGGGTCACATTTTCCTGACATTGCCCACATCCTGGTGGTGGGGTAAGATTACTTATTGGGAAGTGAAAAAACACAAGACGTTTACTTATCAGGTTGACCTGTCAGGAACTTGAAAAACACCAGATGTCTTAACATTTTGACTCACATTCTGTTCAGCAGGATCAATCAGAAACACTCCCTGTTCCCAGAAACCATTCCACCTCCCTTTGTTCCAGGGAGTGGGGCTCAAGGTTACCCAAGGGTCATGCCAGTTATACTTGATTTTTAGGCTAGGTGGGCTGCAAGTTAAAGCACTCCAACAGTGCCCACCTGCTTTAACAACACCTGCCTCCTAAGTTGCCCCTAAATCAACTCCAGATGGACTTTGGGTATGAAATCCCTTCTTTGTCAGAACTTGTCTCTCCACTTCATTGGCCTGTGGTGAGGCCAGATTTGGGTGCAGCAGCAGCGAGGCTAACTCTCCCCTGGTCTTCAGAACTCCTAGCAAGTCATGGAGCCTGGGATGGTCTTGGGTCCCCCAACACATGGGCCTTCAGAGGAGCAGTTAACTGGGCCCCATTCTACACAGAAAACACCATGGTCATACCTGAGAAAACCCGCAACTTCCGATTTCCCCCAGGGCACACTCGAGCTTTGCAGAGTGCGTTCCGCCCTCCCCGACGCATGCATCTCTCTGTTCAGATTAACTTTCTGCAGCCTTCAGGATGATGTCCCACCGCCTGTCCCACGATTGCTTTCCTCCAGCCCCTTCTGCCCTGAAGAGCGGACGCAGCCCTAGCTGTTTCATAGTTTGGGTTTTCAGGGGGCCCTGACGATGCTGTCAGTAAGCTGTCCGCGCCAGACCCCTAGGTAGAGCGTGGTGTGGGCAGAGGATACGCTGCAAGCGCCGGCTCCATGCAGCTCTTCTGGGATGGTCGCAGCAGTTACCCTTCTTCTAACTCTGTCGTTCCTGCTGAGCGTGCTCGCCGACATACTTCGGCAAAGGGGAAGGAGAACACACAACACTCCTGCCTTCCCCACCATGACCAGTGTCCAGATGCAGGTCTCCCCGCCGCCCACCTCTCCTGCGGGCTGCAGTTGCACGGCCCGGCCATTACGTGGCGCTGGCGTGCGGGCCGGCGTCGTCGCGGACGTGTGACGTACATGACGTGTGACGACACACGTGCGCCGCCGCCGGAGCGTTGTGTGCGGAAGCTTGGGGGTCCGGCGGTCTCTCTGGCGTCGCCATGGTTCCACGCGTGCAGCTCCCGCCTGAGATCCAGCTCGCGCAGCGCTTGGCGGGGAACGATCAGGTGACCCGGGACCGAGCGGTGCGGAAGCTCCGGAAGTACATCGTCGCCCGGACCCAGCGGGCCGCAGGTGGGCAGGGTGAGGGGGAGAGGGGCGCGGGGTCGGGACCGCGCGACGCGGACTGCCTGGGTCCCCCGCGTGGCCGTGGGGCCGGTCCGATGGGCCGGTGTCCCCCGCGTCCGGCCCCGTCCCGGCCCCTCTGTCTCCAGGGCAGCGACACGTGGTTCCGGTGCGTGCCCACCTCCGACTCGGGCCCGTCCCTCCCGGCCCCCATCAGGCCACGTCGCCTCCTGCTCTCTGGCTTCCCGAACCAGGAACAGGACAGTATGTTACTGGATTGATTTCCGACTTTATTGTCACATGGAGGCACCCTCCCCGAAGGCCGAGAACGTAATTCTTGCTCTTGTGCCTATGGTTCTCAGTGGCCCCTGGTCAGCAGTCGCCGCATCACCGGGGCGTTTTTTACAACTGCAGATTCTACGTCCGCGCAGCCGGATCGGAGGGGACACCTGGGTTTTAGCAAGCTCTGCAGGAGCCTTGGTTATCCAAGTTGCATTCTGAGACGCACCAACGCACCACTCTGGAGATGGGAGCCTGACAGCACCTGGTGCACGTTGGCCAGCGCTCTCTGCTACCCTGAGCGACTGCGTTCACTTTCTCCTAACATTTGAGACATAACAGGAAAATTGACAGCCCCTCAGTGTAGCCCTGGGAGAGTCACCCTAGTAGATTCCTGAAGGGACTGCCATCCTGCTAGGGATGCCTAGGATTCTGAACTGGGGATCTCTGCGACCTATGGTCCCAGTGCGTGCACAAAGTCATCCGTGGGAGAGCAGCTTGCCTCAGGCACAGTAGGTGCTGAGCTGGCAGAGTGCCCTGGGAGGAGCAGATGCCCCCACAGTGGCCTATGCAGTAATAAGTTGGGGTGGTCATGCTTCTTAACTGGCAGTAAGAGCCCAGGCCTGAGTTCCTTTAGTGTGAATGGTTCTGTTGTGATGCAGGTGGTTTCACACATGACGAGCTACTGAAGATATGGAAGGGACTGTTTTACTGCATGTGGATGCAGGACAAGCCACTCCTGCAGGTGAGTGCTTGGGGGGGCAGCCCAGGAAACAAAGGATGAAGGGAGGACAGATGGGCAATGTGGCTGAGTCCCGTTTAACATGGCGCAGCTTTCATGCCTGTTCTGGATGGCTGGCAGGGTGGGACCTTTGGTTGTAGTGGCTCTGGCACTGGCTGAAGATAGGCATGGCTTGCCAAGTTGAACACCATGGTGACACTGGCAGTAGGCAGTGCAGGCCAGGGCGAGGTGGGTTTTATGTTTATTCAGGTTTGGTTGAAAACCGAGTACTGAAATAATGGAATTCAAGGGACAGAATCCAGGTCTCTGGGTCTAGGATTTCTCCTGCTGGCCTTTTAGAGCAGTGGTTCTCAAGTGTAAATTGTTTAGGTTTCAGAATCACCTGGGTGTGAGGGAACTTACTTCTATGCAGATGCCTGGTCCGTGTTCATGCCTACTAAACAAGCCTCTCTCAAGAGGAGGCTCTGAAATCTTCTGCCTTAGCAAGGGTGCCAGGCGATGCTTGACAGCGAGAAGCAGGCAAGAATTAAGTGATCCCTGAGTCTGGTTGGTCCTGTTTCCTGCTGGTAAGGTGGCTGTGTCCTGAGGCTCCCATCTGTTCTTTCCCATACTCCCCTATTCTCCCGAAACCCCCTGTGACATCGCCTTATTGCTTAGAGTACAGCCTGAGTCAGGGTGGCAGTGACTGTTGTGGGTTTTGGTTGGGTCTGCTGGCCTCAGCTGCAGAAGAGCCTTTTGCAGTATGGGGGAGACTTGCAAAACTCAAGTTCCCTGGGTTGAGCCCTTCTAGAGGCTGGTGGTTCTCTGTGGTAAGTGAGTGGACATCTGTACGTGCACAGTGCTTCAGGGCCTGTGGAGTTTTTTAAATCTATTTTTAAAAATTTTTTTATTGTTTCTTGTACAGGAAGAACTAGGAAGGACCATTTCCCAGCTTACACATGCTTTTCAGACCACAGAGGCACGTAAGTACACTCTGCTGGAGTTAAGCCCATTTGCAAGTGTCAGAGTTGCTGAGATTCAAAGCCACTGGACACAGATATTTGTGTTCTGAAATCTAAAGCTAGGGGAGCCAGCTGATGTCTGGCTGCTTGTCCTGTGTGAAATGTGCCCTTAAGTGCTCAGCCTGTACTGACTCCCTCTCCCAAATAGATGCAGCTCCAAGCAACAGGCTGAAGTCCTGCATCTTACATTTAAAATGAAAAGCTGGTGTGATGAAACTATAGTATTTGACTGCATTCCACCTGGTAACTATGAAGTTACTGGAGTGTATTTTTCTAGTGCTTCAATTTTTTTATCTTGATCAGGATGACTAGTTCACCCCCTGCCTGTCCATTGGCATTACCCAGGCAGCCTTTAAAAATCATCTCGATCCCCAGACCCTGGTCCAGTTCAGTTCTGCCCTGTAGGTGTGGCCTGGGCATTAGCATCTTTGACCATCACTGTGCTGAGGGCAGGCAGGGCTGATGTGAAGTGAGGAAGGAGGAGGAGGTTGATGGGAGGCAGGCAGTGCTATGGTACAGTTTGTGTGGTGGGTTTTAGTTCTGTTATACTGAGGTCAGCAATACAAGGGGAATGCACACAGTTTCTCAATTTGGGAAATTCTGTCTCTTTCTCTCTTTGGATGTTTTTGTTTTGTGATACTGGGGGTTGAACTCAGGGCCTCACACTTGCTAGGCAGGTGCTGTGCCACTTGAGCCATGTCCCCTGCCCTGTTTGTTTTGGTTAGTTTTAAAATAGGGTTCTGCTTTATCTTCCTGCATAGCTGGGGTGACAGCTGCATGGCCACCATGCCCAGGTGGTATTGATGGAGATGGGGTCTCTTGAACTTTTCCCCCAGACGGGTCCTAAACCTTCATTCTCCCGATCTCTGCCTCCTGAGTAGCTAGTGGGCTTTTTTTTTTTTTTTTTTTTTGAGACAGGGTCTTGGTTATGGCTATGTAGCTCAGAGTAGCCTTGAACTCACTGTGTAATCCAGGCTAACTTTGAACTCGAGATCCTCCTGCCTTAGCCTTCTGAGTACTGGGATTACAGGTTGTGCCACCAAGCCCAGTGGGAGAATCTCTTTAATATGTGTAAATGATGAACTAGATCTGTGCACCCTAAGCTTTACTTTAAATACTTGCAGAATGGTTGCTGTGCTGAGTATAACGACAAAGCCTTCACTCAGTGATACTCGTAGGTAAATACTAGCTCACCTGTGACCGAGCCAGCCGAGCAGTCCTTTGCTGGTGTAGAAATTCTGTAGGGGGAGCTAGGAGTTGCCTTTGTGTCCTAAGACCCAGGTGTTGCAGGGCTAGTTCCTTCTGAGGCCTCTCCTTGGCTTGTAGGTGGCATTTACTCCTCATGTCATTATATTGTTGTCCCTGTGTGTCTGTGTCCCAATCTCCTCTTACAAGGGCACCAGTTAGATTGGATTAGGGCCCTATTTTGCTTTAATCTAACCTCTGCAGAAAGGCTGGGCGCAGTGATTCACACCCGTGGTCCCAGCTTTGCAGGAGGCAGAGATGGGGAGGATCGCAGTTGGAGGAGATTGTTGTTCAGGACCAGCTCAGGAAAAAATGTTCATGAGACCCTGTGTCAGCCAATAAAAGCTGGGCGTGGTGGTGCTTGCCCATTCCAGCTATGTGAAAAGTGTAAATAGGACCATAGTCCAGGCCAGCCTGGGCATAAAAGTAAGATCCTATTGAAAAAATAACCAAAGCAAAAGGGCTGGGGATGTGACTTAGGTGGTGGAGTGCCTGCCTAAGCATGAGGTCCTGCGTTCAAGCTCCAGTACTGCCAAAAAACCCCACAAAATTTCTGCAAAGGCCCTATGTGTACTATAGTCACATTTTGAGGTACTGAGGGCTAGGACTTCTACATAAGCGTTTTAGGGAGCACAAGGAAATCCTTAGCGTCTCGTATCTGACACCTGTTATCTGTAGGGTATGTGGTTGATGGTGTTAGTGGAACGAGCAGGGTGAGTACCTGGCATCCTCTGTAGGCATGCAGCTTTGGTGACACTTCCTGACGGGTATAGCTTGGGTGTTGGGATTCTCAGCCCTAGCCAAGATGGATGAAAGGAAGCCTGGAGGGGACATGCGAGAGTAGTCTTTTTTTTTTTTGCAGTACTGGGGCTTGAACTCAGGGCTTACACCTTGAGCCACTCTGCCAGTCCTGTTTTGTGATAGATTTTTACAGATGGGATTTCACAAACTATTTTCCCAGGCCAGCTTCAAACCACAATCCTCCCGATTTGTGCCTACTGAGTAGCTAGTATTACAGGTATGAGCCACTGTACCTGGCCAAGTAGCCACTACTTGTCAGCCAAGTTGCTCCCTCTTCGTGCTTTTTTTTCAGAAAACATGGCAACAGTTTGGGCCAAGCTGTGCTCTGCATTCTTTCTGTGGTGTTGAAAGCCCTGTCTTCTCAGCCACGTACATAGCACCGTGTCTTAGATCAGGACTGTCTGAGAAACCCCAGATGGGACTTCCTGAGAATGTTGCTTTCTGTGTCCCCCCTCCTGTGGCTCTGAATGTTCCTCCATGTCATCCCCCCATAGCTCTAGTGTTAACTGGGCTCTCTTCCTGCAGGACACCTGTTCCTGCAGACCTTCTGGCAGACCATAAACCGTGAGTGGGCAGGCATCGATAGACTGCGCCTGGACAAGTTCTACATGGTGAGGAGCATGTGTGTTGTATTGTGGTGCTGGCCGGGCCCTCCCTGCCCCAAGCTGTGCAGTATTGAGGTCACGGCCCATGAGCCCAGTGGGCTGGAGTGTGAGAGAAGGCCTGTGTAGACTGTCCATGCTAGAATTGTGTGTTCCTCGTGCCCATCTTGGAGGTTAGCGAGCTGGTGAAGAGTTCAGTCCTGATAACACCTACTCAGACTTTTGTTCAGAGGGTCCTTGGAGTTGCTCTCCCGTGGAGGCTGTGGTGAAGCCATCAGTACTTTGCCTAAGGGGCTGTAGCCAGTGGTACCCAGTAGGGGCGGCGAGGTAGCTGTGGCTTGTGCTGCCGTGAGTGCTCCTTCTGGGCGAGGGCAAGGTCTTGGTGCTCTGCATAGCTCCTCTCTCCTTCACTGTATCATGCTGCTCCTATCTGGGTTGCTAGTTTGCCCTCAGCAACACAGGGGAACTGGTTTTTTGGGGGGTGGTTAGCAGTGTTGGGATTGAACTCAGGGTGTTGCACATTCTAGACAAGCACTTTTCCATTAGCTATGCCTCCAGTGGGAACTGGGTTTTGTAGCATCATGTATGCTGCTCACATCTTTCCCTACGAGGCCGCATGCTTGTTACTGAGGAGATGTGTGCTGATGGTGATGGTGGAGCTATTTCCAGATGAAGGACAAGGTGCAGTGGCAACTCCAGCCTGAGCCAGGACTCTGTGGCCAGTGCCAGTGTGGCCACACTGGCACTCTCAGAGTGAGGTCTGCCTGGCAAGAGAAGCACAGAGCTGGGAAGGAAGGAGGACGGTTCTGGGGCATTGAGTGGGCATGGGTAGGGTCAACTGAGTACAGTCTTTTGCAGGGTGCCAATCTGTTAGACAGTTTTGGGTGAAGTCACCACCACTAGATGCAATTGACTAGGTTGTAATTGCCAGGTCCTTTTGCATGGTGAACGCTGTTGGTTTTCAAGGCCCATTTCCCATGTCCCTCTGTGTAGCTCAGCCCAGCAGCTCAGTCTGAGGTAGGTCAATCCTCTTGGCAGCACTGCAGGGAGGCATGAGACAGCTCTGCAGTGTCCCTGAAAGTGGCATCCTAGCTGCCAGGTGTGTTCCATGGACAGGCTCATGGGACACGTGTTCCTGATTGTCTCTTTACCATGACCCGGTCTTGCAGTGGGGATGTTGTATTAAGATCCCAAAGATAGGAAAACCGTGCAGAAAACACTGAGCCAGTGAAGAGGAAGTGGAGGCAGCATGTGCCAATGCTGGGCCTCGACTGACGTTGTGATTGACATGCACTGCACAGCAGAGAGAAAACTGCTGTTGCTGTCTGCTGGAGAGTGGGGCTTGGGAAAGAGCTGCTAGCTTCAGACCTGGCTTTGCAGTGACTCTGCCTCCAGGCAAGGAGCTCTTGCATCCATCCTGGCAGTACCCCTCCATCTGCCGTGGGGTAGGCTATAGCCTTCCCCTGCCCAGGAGGCTCCTGGTACATAGAGCGCAGGGGGCTGGTGAAGCTGGGTTGTACTTCTTCACTAACTCAGGTCTTCTCTTGTGCCCAAGCTCATGCGGATGGTCCTGAGTGAGTCCTTGAAGGCTGTGAAAGCACAAGGATGGGAAGAAAGGTCAGTCCAGACTCCTGGGTGTCCAGGGGCAGAAGGGATGAGGGACTGTGTTTCCATTATAACTTTTTGTTGTGAAGAGATGTTGGCTTTTACATTAAGGGGTACCCTTGGTGGTGTTGAAAATGAAGACTTTTTTTTCTTTCTTTCTTTCTTTTTTTTTTTTTTTGAGGTACTGGGGCTTGAACTCACGGCCTTAACCTTGAGCCACTCCACCAGCCCTACTTTTTTTTTTTTTTCCATGTGTGCATACAATGCTTGGGTCATTTTTCCCCCTTTCCCCCACCCCCTCCCTTACCACCCATCCCGCCCCCTCCCTCTCCCCTCCACCCCCTTGATACCAGACAGAAACTATTTTGCCCTTATCTCTAATTTGTTGAAGAGAGAGTATAAGCAATAATAGGAAGGAACAAGGGTTTTTGCTAGTTGAGATAAGGATAGCTATACAGGGAGTTGACTCACATTAATTTCCTGTGCATGTGTATTACCTTCTAGGTTAATTCTTCTTGATCTAACCTTTTCTCTAGTTCCTGGTCCCCTTCTGTTGGCCTCAGTTGCTTTAAAGTATTTGCTTTAGTTTCTCTGCATTGAGGGCAACAAATGCTATTTAGTTTTTGAGGTGTCTTACCTATCCTCACCCCTCCCCTTGTGTGCTCTCAGCTTTTATCTTGTGAATCCAGTCCATTCACCTTGTTGTGTTTGACTTTGATCTAATTGTCCCATATGAGGGAGAACATTATGGTTTTTGGTTTTTGGGCCAGGCTAACCTCACTCAGAATGATGTTTCTTCCAGTTCCATCCATTACCAGCAGATGCATAACAATTTTGTTCTTCACGGCTGCATTAAAATTCCATTGTGTATAGATACCACATTTTCCTTAATCATTCGTCAGTGCTGGGGGCATCTTGGTGTTTCCATAAGCTTTGGCTAATTGTGTAATAGGTGCTGCAATAAACATGGGTGTGCAAGGTGCCTCTGGAGTAACACTGTGTCACAGGTCTTTTGGGTATATCCCAAGAGTGGTATTGCTGGATCAAATGGTAAGATCGATGTCGCAGCTTTTTAAGTAGCGCTTCCAAATTTTTTTCCAGAGTGGTTGGTACTAGTCTACATTCCCACAGCAGTGTAAGAGGGTTCCTTTTTCCCCCGATCCTCGCCAACACCTGTGGGTGGTGGTGTTGGTGATGAATGGCTATTCTAACAGGGGTTGAGGTGGAATCTTTAGTGTGGTTTTAAATTGCAATTTCCCTTTATTGCTAGAGATGGTGAGGCATTTTTTTTATGTTGTTTTTGGGCCATTTTGAATTTTTCTTCTTTGAGAAAGTTCTGTTTAGTTGCACATTGCCCATTTCTTTATATGGTTTATTTAGTTTTGGGAGAATTTAAGTTTTTTAAGTTCCCTATATATTCTTGGTTATCAGTCCTTTGTCTGATGTGTAGCTGGCAAATATTTTCTCCCACTCTGTGGGTGTTCTCTTCAGTTTAGAGACCATTTCTTTTGTTGAGCAGAAGCTTTTTTAGTTTTATAAAGTCCCATTTACAAGCCTTGTATCACATTGAATAATAAAGAAAAATGAAAAAAAAAAAAAAAAAAACTATAGGAATCACAGAAATATGGTCTGAAAGGATCCTGTAGGATAATTTTCCAAGAGTCCTCCTGTGTAGGCATCATTTCTATAGGATCATTTACAGTGACTCAGTCTCTCATAAATCCTGGCTTGTCACCATACAAATGTGACCTTTGTGAGCCGCAGCTTTCTTCAAGCTATGAAAGAAAAACACTACTATTTACCTCACAGAGCTATCGTGAAGACTGAATGATAAAGCATGTAAGGTCCTTTGTAAACAAGAAAGCAACTTTACAGATGATCCCTGAACATTCTTTACAAGCAAGTTACTCTTAGAAAACAAAATTTATCTTTGCATTTCAGTAATTCTAAGTGGTTATTCTTTTATATATCAGAGATTTCATAACCACAAATTGTAGAGCAATATATCCATACCCTTATCTAGTAAGCAAAATGATTTTACATTACTACTACACATACCACTAAGCTTACAATGTAAGTTTTTCTCAGACTCTTTTGGAGGAAGAAAATTACCAACTTTGAGACATCCATGAAAAAGTAAATCTCATCTCAAATAAGCAAATATGTAAAATAGTTCCATGACTTTAAATTAAGTGAATTTCCTCATATAACCATATTAGATATGTATGTACCATATTATTTATATATGTATTAAAATATCAGATGTAATCAATAAAAAAAAAAAAATAAAGTCCCATTTATCTATGCTATCTCTTAGTTGCTGTGCTGCTGGGGTTCCATTGAGAAAGTTCTTACCTATACCTACTAACTCCAGAGTATTTCCTACTCTTTCCTGCATCATCTTTAGAGTTTGTGGTCTGATATTAAGATCCTTGATCCATTTTGAGTTAATATTGGTATAGGGTGATATACTAGATCCATCTAGTTTTAGTTTTTTGCAGACTGCTAACCAGTTTTCCCAGCAGTTTTTGTGGAAGAGGCTGCTATTTCTCCATCGTATATTTTTAGCTCCTTTGTCAAAGACAAGTTGGTTATAGTTGTGTGGGTTCATATCTGGGTCCTCTATTCAGTTCCACTGGTCTTCATGTCTGTTTTTGTGCCAGTACCATGCTGTTTTTATTGTTATTTCTTTGTAATATAGTTTGAAGTTGGGTACCGTGACACCTCCAGCATTGTTCTTTTGACTAAGTATTGCCTTGGCTATTCGTGGCCTCAGTTTTTTCAATCTCTTTAATAAACGTCATTGGAATTTTGATGGGAATTGCATTAAACATGTAGATTACTTTTGGGAGTATAGACACTTTTACTATGTTGATTCTACCAATCCATGAGCATGGGAGATCTCTCCACTTTCTACAGTCTTCCTCAGTCTCTTTCTTCAGAAGTGTATAGTTTTCCTTGTAAAGGTCTTTCACATCTTTTGTTAGGTTTACACCTAGGTATTTGATTTTTTTGGGTGGGGGCTATTGTAAATGGAATTGTTTTCATATATTCTTTTTCAGTTTGTTCATTATTAGTGTTTTTCTATGTTGATTTTATATCCTGCTACCTTGCTTATAGCTATTGATGTGGTGTCTAGAAACTTCTGAGTAGAGTTTTTTGGGTCTTTAAGGTATAGGTCATGTCATCTGCAAATAGGGATATTTTGACAGTTTCTTTACCTATTTGTATTCCTTTTATTCCTTCTTCTTGCCTAATTGCTCTGGCTAGGAATTCCAGTACTATGTTGAATAGGAGTGGAGATAGTGGACATCCTTGTCTAGTTTCTGATTTTAGAGGGAATGGTTTCAATTTTTCTCCGTTAAATATAATGCTGGCTATAGGTTTGTCATACGTAGCTTTTATAATGTGAGGTACTTTCCTTCTATTCCTAGTTTTCTTAGAGTTTTTATCATGAAATGGTGTTGGATCTTATCAAAGGCTTTTTCTGCATCTATTGAGATGATCAAGTGGTTTTTGTCTTTGCTTCTGTTAATGTGGTTTATTACATTTATTGATTTTCGTATGTTGAACCACTCCTGCATTCCTGGGTTGAAGCCTGCTTGGTCGTGGTGAATAATCTTTTTGATGTGTTGTTGGATTCGGTTTGCCATTATTTTGTTGAGGATTTTTGCATCAGTGTTCATTAAGGAGATTGGCCTATAGTTCTCCTTTTTGGAGGTGTCTTTGCCTGGTTTTGGGATAAGTGTAATACTGGCTTCATAAAATGTGTTAGTCAGTTTTCCTTCCCTTTCTATTTCATGGAACAGTTTAAGGAGGGTTGGTATCAGTTCTTCTTTAAAGGTCTGATAGAATTCAGCAGAGAATCCATCAGGTCCTGGACTTTTCTTTTTGGGGAGACTCTTGATTGCTGCTTCAATTTCATTTTGTGTTATAGATCTATCAGTGATTAATTTCCTCTTGGTTCAGTTTTGGATGATCATATGTATCTAGAAATCTGTCCATTTCTTTTAAGATTTTCAGATTTATTTGAATATAGGCTCTCAAAGTAGTCTCTGATGATTTCCTGGACTTCCATGGTGTGTGTTGTTATCTCTCCTTTTGCATTCCTGATTCTACTAATTTGGGTTTTTTTCTCTCCTCATTTTAGTCAGGTTTGCAGGGGTCTATCGATCTTGTTTATTTTTCAAAAACCAACTTTTTGTTTCATTAATTCTTTGTATGGTTTTTTTTGGTTTCTTATTTCATTGATTTCAGCTCTTATTTTTTATTATTTCTCTCCTTCTATTGTTTTTGGGATTTGCTTGTTCTTGTTTTTCTAGGAGTTTTGAGTGTATCATTAGGTCATTGATTTGGGATCTTTCAGTCTTTTTAATATATGCACTCATGGCTATAAACTTTCCACTCAGGACTGCCTTAGCTGTGTCCCTATAGGTTCGGTAGGGTTGTTTTTTCATTTTCATTGACTTCCAGGAACTTTTAATTTCCTCTTTTATTTCATCAATGATCCCATGTTATTAAGTAATGAGTTATTCAGTTTCCAGCTGTTTGCGTGTTTTTTGTCTTTACTTTTGTTGTTGAGTTTCTAGTTTTAATGGTTGTGATCAGATGGTACGCATGGTATAATTTCTATTTTTCTATTTTTGCTGAGACTTGCTTTGTGCCCAGGATATGATTCTATTTTGGAGAAGGTTCCATAGGCTGCCGAGAAGAATGTATATTGTGTAGAAGTTGGATGAAATGTTCTGTAGACATCAACTAGGTCCATTTGATCTGTTGTATATTTTAGATCTAAGATTTATTTACTGATTTTTTTTGTTTGGATGACCTATCTATTGATGATAATGGGGTGTTAAAGTCTTCCACGACCTTTGTGTTGGAGTTAATATATGCTTTTAGGTCTTTCAGGGTATGTTTGATGAAATTGGGTGCGTTTGACATTGGGTGCATATAGGTTGATAATTATTATTTCCTTCTGGTCTATTTCCCTTTATTAGTATGGAATGTCCTTC